ACCATCGCCCTGTCAGGTTGGTGTATTTTTGGACTTCCCACTGGAACTGATCAAGCTGCAGTGATTTACACCTGCCCCGAGACAGCCCTGGGCCCATTTCCATTTGCAAATAAATAAGAGGACATCTCCCGGCATCATGTGCCACACGGGCTCCAAGAACACCTTGTAAGTCTTGCTGTACTGCATTATCTTTGATTAACGTGATATTCGTGGTTGCTTCTTACTCCATTAACTGCGGTAAGTGCAGAGGAAAGAGCCACCTGACAGAAAACTGTTTTCTAAATAAATTAATACAAGAAGGCAGCATCACCTCTGGATCCCAGGCAGACTCAAGCTGGCGTAACTCCATGGACCTCAGTGACATTTGTTTGCTTTTTTCCGGCTTCAAAACATCTCAGCCTGTTTGCCACTTTCAGGATTTGGCCACAGAAAAATGGAGCAATCGGAAAGGCTGTTTGGCATTGCTAGAGGACAGGAGAGACCCTGCTGCTGCAGATAGTGGGTGATGGAGCAAGGGTGGTGGGATTTGGGAAGGCCATCAAATCAAGGCTTGGGAAAGAGCATTGCTTGCAACAGAAGATTAAGGATTCTCCCTGCTTCTGTTTTAGCAGCAAATATTTTACTTCGCAAATGCAAACAGATCTTCGTCATACAGCAACTCCCTGGATACCTCCCCAAGAGCTGTGGGCTACAGGAATTCCCATGGACCCAACAGCACTACGTTCATGATGCCTCAAGAAAGTGACTCCCCACAAAAGCTTCTCTGGCAGCTAACACAGAATAACGCTGTCTGCTTGTCCCTATCTTGGCTCTGATGCCTGCTGTTCGCCAGGCAGAAACCAAGAGGCACTGGTAGTGCTTTCCACCACCTAGTTAACCCAGATGTGCAAACCAACTGGAAAAAAGTCATGCCTAGTGTACGTAGGATTTTTGATTCTTAAGAGAAGAGCTCCTCCCACATCCCTCAGCCCATCTGTGCTAGTGACAGTCTGGATGAGCTGAGGTCTAGATAATACCTCTGCTAATTAGCCTCTGACTGCTAACAATCATTACAGCTGATTCAACACAGTGTGTAAAATCAGTTCACAGGGTTGGTCTCTCCTGCAGTCTGCAGAGATGCTGCAGGGGTTTGCAATCTGAAGACAGTTTGCGTCTTCAGCCTGGGCAATCCCATCCTGGGCAGTTAAATCCCACGTGAAAGTATAACCAAGAGCGCTATTTACCTTCCACTGAAGTAAATACCTGTTTCTGCTTCACTACAAGAGGAACCGGACAGGCTGCCTAACCTGCTCCCCTTTCAGTGTCAAGGCAAAGCAGACAGTGGTCCGGTCCCACCCCAGAGTCTCAGTTTAAGGCAAAAGGAATGTGAAAGAGATGCTAGTGGAGAAAGGAGGCAGAGCCCCATGAGCCCCTGTAAAAGAAACCCATGATCCCAACCCAACGCAGAGTGAAGCTTCTTGCGTGACTGCCAAAAAAAAAAGAGAGCAGGAGCTTGCATCACTGTTTACCACAGGACCACTGACCTCTTCAGCCTAGTTCTGTGCCCAGTAAATCCAGTTTGATGTTTGTTGCAGTTGGGATACCGCTCCCAAAGACAACAGCAGCCTCTGGCAGGCCTGACCCACCCCAGGGAGGGTGTCCAGCCACGGGGCAAGAAGTAGCAGGGACTCTGCAGAAGATAGCCAGATGTAACAGCACTGGCCAACAACCTGACACTCTACGAGAGATGGGCAGGAATACCTACTCTACACCACTGTCTCTCCATTGCCTAACCCAGAAAGCTTTCAAACCTGCTTAAAACCTACTAACAGAAACCATGAACTTCTGGGGGACCCTTACCAACGTGCATCGGCAAGGGTAAAATGTTTTTAAGACAGAGTTTGATGAAATGATGGATGGGATTTCAGGGCTGTCAGAGGTAGCTGGGGACTGGACTGCATGACCCTGGAGGTCCCTTCCAGTCCGTTTGTATACATACGTATACACCTATCTATCTATCTGTAAAAAAACCATTAGCAAGCTGCTGAGCCTGCACTCACCACACACTTCCCAGCACAACCAAGAGGGACTCGAATGCGCAAAGAATAAATGATTCAGCTCCATCTTGTGCTTCTGCTTTTGACATGCCAAGCAGCACTCCAGCTTGTCAGGATAAAATCCAGACAGCTGCAACATATGTACAAAACTGGGACAATTCAGATTAAAAACCCATTTTCCTCTATGTTTCTCTGAATATTCACCCCTCTCCCAACAGCTGTCCTGAAAGGAAGATAGGAAGAGAGAGGATTTCCTACTATCTGTGTCCGGCTTAGAAATCCTAGCTCCTTGAATTATGTTTGATTGTGCCTCTGCACAGATTATTTTGAAACGATCATCTGCGAGAACCACACAATCAGCACTCTGTCAGAGGAAAGCAAAAAATTGGGGCAATTCTAGAAGAGGTCTGTAAAAAGCCCTTTGGTCTCCTTTCCAAAGTGAAGCACGCTGCACTTAACAGCAATTGCCTAGGGCCCGGCAATCACGTACTGACGCGTGAATGCTGCTTTCAAGAACAACAGCTCATCAAGGCACTCTCGGGTCATCGCAAACTGCAGCAAGAATCACAGTCTTCTCAGGTCAGAAATTAAGAGCACAGACGTATCCCAAAGAATATTTTGCACTGAGAGGTGTTGTAATTGCAGAAGAGAATTCAAGAGCTGATGACTCTGTCCCTTCCTACGAGCTGTAGGTACTCATTACAACCACTCATAGCTGCGAAAAGATCAGGCAAAAAGGCACAGTCAGCCTTTTGGCAAGTTTGTCTTGCTGCCAAAGGCCTGTCCCCTCAAAAAATGACACCCAGATACTTTTGCAAGAGGTTCACTGCTCAAATCCACAGGTGGTTTGGTTCCTAATGCCCAGTCCCAACCAGTATAAAGCTTGAAATGTCAATAGGCTCTCCCCTGATTTTGTTACACGGCATCCCAGGGAACAATCTGAGTTCTGGCCATGAAATCACTCCTTCAATTACCCCATACTGCCACATTTGAAACAGACCCTTGTCCCTCCCTTAATAAACAAACATCAGGGAACAGCAATAAATCCCTGCAGAATCACAGGGTCACTCAAGGCAGGTGTGACTTCACATCCTGATTTCCAAAAACCTTAGAGAAACTGCATGAAAATCATCATTTCAAATAACATTACAGTTCCACATCTGTTACCTACATCAATGAAATACTGCACTGCTAAAGCTGTCCCCTGTGAAAAGGTACTTTGAAAGAAAAGCTAAGCATTCAAATAAGACTAAGCCATCCTAATCAAGAACACAAGGACTGAACCTGAAGCACCAGAGTACTTGCATACGAATTTGTCCAGATGCTCATGCGTGTATCTAAGCAAGTGCCTTGCTGCAACTGAATCAAAGCAGGAAGGCGAAGCCAAAACCTTATGAAAAGGCCTGGTACCCATTAGATTTCTCTTGTTTTGGAGAACACCACCAACAGCTGGACCCAGCTCCACTCCTGCTCTGTGTCAGCACAGACCGAACGGGTTCATCTTCCACCAAGAGCCGGGCCAGGGGGACCAGACTGTGGAGAGAACAGGCTGCTCTCGCGTAGCGAGCACTTACTGGGTTTCATAACAGGCAAGAGGAGCAAGGTGCTGACAGCATCCGACGGCTCGTGCCACACTAACGTGCCGGCGAAGAAGAGCCCACGCACTCCTGCGAGCAGGTCAGCAGTTACCTGTGCCATGGTGCACCCCGGCAGCCCAACACCAGCTGGGAGGGACAAGGGCATGGGGCACCAAAACTGCTCTGGCACACGGGCTTCATCTTTCTAAGAGCGCTGGAAAGCCGGGGAGGAGGCGTTCCCGCTCCCAGTAAAAGGGGATCAGGACAAGCCCTTTCCAGCAGCGACAGGCACCACCGTACCCCTTCCTCCCACACCGCAACGTAACGCAGTTGCCCTCCAGCCCTCTCGAGGAACGTCACGACAAGCGATGGCCTGTCCCTGCATGCACCCACTGACCCAACACGGGGCGCAGAGCTGCAGCCCAGTGGTCTGCATCCTCCAAGGAGCTGCGTGCCACCACGCAGACTGCCAAAGCATGACAGGGACGTTCCTGGAAGGCGATCCAACCCAGCCCCTTTTGACAGCTGGGGTCAGGCATCTCCCCATCTTGCCCCGGCTCCTTGTCACAGGTCCTCCCACCTACTCTTGCCTGCACAGATTTGCTGGAGCAGGGGACAATTATTTCAATGTTCATCCAAGGAGTGATGCCCATCCCCTTGCACCCCGTCCGCCTGCGTCCCAGTCACTTCTGCCCCAGTTCCTTCGGCGAGGGGGTCGCTGGCGCAAGGAGGGAGGCAGGCAGCGGGATGGATGGAGTTGAGCTGAAGCTAATGACGGCCGCGTCCCTGCCTCAAGCGCTGGGACCCTCTCCTCCAGCGAGGATGCATGCGGGAGCGAGCACGCTCGAGAGGAGCTGATCAGTATTCAGCGAAAGCCTCCGCTACCGCGCTGCCCGCTCGCCCACTGCCATCCCTCCTCCTCCCAATGACTCGGTGTGCGGGAGGAGGCAGCAGCCCCTTCCTCAGCAGCACCCCACGGCACCCCGCTCCCGCATCCCCGTCCTCCCCCGTGGCGGATTTCACGCCTCCGTCCTCACGAAAGCACCCACTCCCCGTTGCTTTTCCAGCTCCGCGGCGCAGGTGTCCCCGATCCAACCACCCCCCCAGCCATCGCCCACAGGCCTTGCCGGCTCCTTTGGGCTCGCAGGGGCCAGCCGTCACGATTCGGGGACCCAGGGGCGAGCATCATCCGCCCAATGCCGGCCTCTGCGTGCCGGGGGGGGGAGACTCTCCTCCCACACAAGGGTGCAAAACGCGGTCCCGGCGCGGGCGAAGGTGGGTGGCGAGGCTCCCACCCTGCCGGCTGGGGGAAAGG